ATGTAATCTAGAAAAACATTAATCAAAATATGCCAGAAAGCAGCATATGAACACAATTAAGTATTTGAGTCTTCTTCCTTTAACAATATCACTTATTAATATTTGTTTTTACTTGCCTTAGCTGGCTATTTGCCTCTTCTAAATTTTCAACTAACTGCTTTGTATTTTCTTCTTTTTTCTTACTATCCTAAATAAAGACCCATGTGTCAGCAAAGAAACAAAATTCAATGTGACTTCTTAAAAAATTCAAAGACATCCAAAGCACACTGACCTGCTTGTTCACAAGTGTAAATACACTTCCTTTCCAATTCAAACACAAAAATTAGCTCAGGTGCTCTACAGACCCAAGTCATGTTGCAGCTCATCATCTAATTTGTGAAACTGAGTAATTTGTCAAATTGAGTATTGTCCTTTCAAGAAAGCTGGAAGTTTACAACTTGCCTCTTGTTGTTCTTGCAGCTTCTGGAGTTGTGCAGCCACAGCATTTTTCTGTTGTGCTGTTTGTTCTTTCTCTAGTGAAAGCTTACTGAGATACACTGTTAGCTGTTCCTTCTTTAACCTAATTTAAATCAAATGCCCAAGAGGAATAAGAAGATGTACTTTGAAATCTCCTTTTTAATTAAACACACCCATTATCAAGTGTTATTCCATGCTAAAAGAAGTCCAGGCCTTTATCTACAAATATAAGCTTTGCCGCAGAGTCAGAGAGATGTAAAAAGGTGACAGAAGAAGGAAAGAAAATCAGAGTCAACTTTTATATAAATATAATGGTTAGCGAAGATTATGTATTTTAAAGCAAGATTAACTATGAATTCAGAAACTTTCTCTTCTTGTTAAATAAGTCAGAGAGATATGGAACAACTACATATGCCATAGAATACATACAAATAGAGAAAGTGGAATTTAGAAATGTAAGTATATAATTAATGGCATATATGTGGTTCAAAACTTCCATAAGAAAACAATCATAGTTCATTTCACTGTGGATTAAAGCAACTTCTATATTACACCAAAACTAATTCAATATTATATTTTTAAAATGGTCATACGCCTCTTGTTCAAGATCTGTTTTCAGAGCTACAAGCTGCTTTAAATAATCTTGTTCCTTCTCAGCTGTACTTGTCAGCTGTGCTTTCAAATCCTGCAATTCTTTCTGCAAAATGAAAAGGAAGAGTTTTGAGTATCCATGTGCAAACTCCAAATGCTGGAGGTTATCAGACATGAGCACAAGGCTTTCAGAAGAACCAAACAACATCCATGCCATGGATTATCCAGATTGGATCTTTGCAGTCTCTGCTGGGATCTGGAAGTGGTGTGAGATAGTGAACTGTGACACCGGTGCTGTTCGTGTCTGTCCCTTNTGACAGTCACTAGGTAACCTCTGAGAAAGAGGCCAAACTGATACTGAAAAATATTGCATTCAGATGGTATCAAAGGAAGCCTGAACTGAAAAAGAAATCTAACAATCCCAGAAGTTTAGATTATTGAAATTTATCTGCCCATAGGAATGTGTTCATAATCTTCAAATGAATTTAATCTTAGATGATGCTAAGTGCAGCATGTGTTCAGCTTCCTTTTCCCAGACTCAGGCCTGTTTCTGCTTTTGAAAGGTCATTAATGTGGTGTCACAAGTTATAAACATGGTATTGACATGGTATCACCCATTGCAAACCACAGCAAGCAGGAAAATCTCTGACCTTGTGCTTTTCCATCAGTGCCATCATCTCAGTTATCTTGTGCTGACATCTGCCATCAGTTTCTCTCTGTATCATTGCAGTTTCATCACAAAGCAACCTCATCTTTTCTACCTGTCAGTAATAAATTGCATTTCATTCATCAACATAACAATATATTTCTTTTAAATCTCAATTTCTTCTTCCCCCTGTGGGTGCAAAGTTTGCAGTCCCACTTGGGCTTCATTTGCTTTTAAGATCCCTTTCCAATCCCTCATCTTTTCTGCAGATTGTTAAAATGGGCAAGATCAAAGGTACAGCCATGGCAGGCAAGCTCACTGCAAACCAAAAGGCCATTTCAAGCACTCTGCCCTAACACTTCTTAGCATTGCTATAAAAAAAGTGTGGGCAGAAAAATCCTAATGTGGGAGAAGTTATAATCTAATTTAACTGGGCTGACTTTATACCAAGGGTGGAATTTCTTTAAACTATATCTTGAAAGAAGGAATTTTTAATGGAGTTCTCATTGTCAAAGACATATTCAAATACTTCAACCTAAGCACCTAATGTACTAAAGCTTTGCTCACAGGCAAACACAACAAGTTCCATTTATATTGATAAGACTGAAATATGAGCAAGGACTCTGGCCAATAAAGCTTNACTTTCAGCAATCATACTGCCAGAGTGCTCTTTTACAAGATTCTCCTACAAAAGAGTTATGCGACAGCAAGGAAACATTTATTTGATTTCAGTTGTTAAAAATCTTATTGGTGTAATTACAGAGCACAGTCTATAATCACAGACTGCTACAAAGTTCACACAAAAATATGAAAAATATGACCAGGTTTAGTACAACCCCAGCATTCAAAAGTCACTGAAAAAAACTCTGCAGTTCAGGGAACTTTTTTTCTTTAGCTAGTTAAAATTACCAAAAATAAAGGAGAGTTTTGTTTTGTTGTTTGTTTATTTATATGTAATCTATAATCACAGACTGTTACAAAGTTCACACAAATCTATGACCAGATTTGGCACAACCCCAGCATTCCAAAGTCACCGTTTTTCTGTTCAGTTTCATTTCTTACCCAGCTCCTCCCACAGCACAAGCCCAAGCCACACCTCTCACCCCCACTGCTCAGGGAATAAAAAAACTCCACCTTTTCTTCCATTTCTGCTCTCAGTAGTTCCTTAAGGGAGGACAGTTCCCTTTTCAAACATGACAGCTCATTTTCCTACAAACCATTAAATAAAGGACAGGGTTAACTATGCACAGCCCAGAAAAAGGAAAACAGTCCCAGGTGAGACAGTAATTAACAGGATACTCATTAGATACACAAGATATTTCTATGTGCTTTTCAGCCCTATACTTGAAGCTTTGCTTTAGCTTGTTTAACAAAGACTGAAGCACTGTAAGAAACAGGTATTTGATCAGAAATTTTCAAGGTAATACCTTAAAACACTTGGGAGAACAGAGGTGAAAGGGCACAATCTAAATATTTAAAACTAAAGTTTCCTATTCAAAGTGGGGAGTCAGAACATGACACAATATCTGGAGGAGCAGACACAAACACACTGCTACCCC